TGGTGGACATGCAATTGGGTCTAAAAATCTCGGACCCCAGTTGCAAGTCGAAGGTGGACTTGCAACTCGGAAAAAAGGTTGGGCCCTAGTTGCGAGTCAAGGATGGACTTGCAACTCGAACAATAAGGGTTGGGCCCCAGTTGTGAGTCTAGGATGGACTTGCAACTCGGATAAAAAGGTTGGGCCTGAGTTGCGAGTCGAGGGTGGACTTACAACTTGGAAAAAAAAGGTTGAGCCCTAGTTGCGACTTGAGGGTGGACTTACAACTTCGACAAAAAAAGTTCTGACCCCATTTGTGAGTCGAGAGTGGACTTGCATCTCGGATAAAAAAAGTTGGGCACTAGTTACGAATCGAGGGTGAACTTCCAACTGGGACAAAGATGGTCAGACCCCAATTGCGAGTCAAGGGTGGACTTTTAATTAGGACAAAGAATTTTGGGACCCAGTTGCGAGTCAATAGTGTAATTGCAACCAGGAAAAAAAGGCCGTGCCCCAATTGTGACTCGAGGATGGACTTGCATCTAGGACAAAAATATGTCGAATCCCCAGTTGCGACTTGGGACTGGACTAGCCACTGGGACAAAAAATGTCAGGTCCTAGTTACGAGTCATGGATGGGATTGCAACTAGGACAAAAAAAGTTGGACTCCAGTTGCGAGTCGAGGGTGGACTTGCAACTAGAAAAAAAAGTCGAGCCTCAGTTGTGAGCCGACATGGACTTGCAACTGGAGAAAAAAAGTCAGGTACCAGTTGCGAGTCAAGGAAATACTTGCAACTGGGACAAAAAAGGTCGAACCCCAGTTGCGAGTTGAGGGCGGACTTGCAGCTGGAACAAAAAAAGATCATGCCCTAGGTGCGAGTCAAGGGTGGACCCCTAGTGGCAAGTCGAGGGTGGACTCGCAATGGGACTAAAAAAGGTCAAACCCAAGTTGCGAGTCGAGTTTTGTACTTGCAAAGGTTGGTCCCAAGTTGCGAGTCATAGGTGCACTTCCAACTGGGACAAGAAAAGGTCGAGCGAGCCCCAATTGCGAATCGATGGTGGACTTGCAACTGGGAGAAAGAATCGGGCCGAGTTGCGAATCCAGGGTGGACTTGCAATTGGAACAAAAAGTTCGGGCCACAGTTGCGAGTCGAGTGTGGACTTGCAACTCGGACAAAAAAGATTGGGCCCTAGTTGCGAGTCGAGGTGGACTTGCAACTCGGACAAAAAAGGTGAGCCTCAGTTGCGAGTCGAGGATGGACTTGCAACTCGGACAAAAAAGGTTGGGCCCCAGTTGCGAGTCGATGGTGGACTTGCAACTCGTAAAAAAAAAGTCTGGCCCCATTTATGAGTCAAGAGTGGGCTTACAACTCGGACAAAAAAGTTAGGCCTTAGTTACATATCGAGGGTGGACTTCCAACAAGGACAGAAAAGTTGGACACCCATTGCGAGTCGAGGGTGGACTTGAAATTAGGACAAAAAAATGTTGGGGCGGAATTGCGAGTCCAGAGTGAAATTGAAACGAAAAAAAGGGCCGACTCCAATTTGCGACACGAGGGTGGATTTGTAAATGGGACAAAAAAAGGTTGGACCTCAGTTGCAAGTTGAGGGGGGACTTGCAAGTGATACAAAAAAAATCATGTCACAATAACGAGTCGAGGGGGGATTGCAACTGGGACAAAAAAGGTCGTGTCCTAGTTGCGAGTCGAGGGTAGACTTGCAACTAGAAAAAATGTTGGGCCTCAGTTGCAAGTTGATGGTGGACTTGTAACTGGGACAAAAAAGGTCACATCCCAGTTGCGAGTCAAGGGCGGACTTGCAACTAGTTAAAAAAGACCGGGCCCCAGTTGCGAGTTGAGGGTGGACTTGCAACTAGGATAAAAAAAAGGTCGGGTCATAGTTACGAGTCGAGGGTGGACTTGCAACTGGGACAATGATGAACAACACAAGCCCTTGAAGTGAAAACTGTGATGTTAGTATGAAAGTATCCGGGTATTGATTTTTCTTCGATTAGATCACATGTAATGTCTCATGTACCGCTCTCGTATTCATTGTTGTCAAAAGATCATATATTAATTTGTGCTCACCTAGTCCTCTTTCAGAGACTAGAGGAAGAGAATATATGTGCCTTTAGTTGAACACATCTCTTCTCACCTATATATAACTAGAGATGTGAGCACGGTGAAAGAAAACATATTGTTAGAGAGAAATTTACAACCCACCAAGCATTTTCATGGTTTGTATTGCAAGATAAACCAAAGACATTCTACATAGGTTGGTTTAGAATAAATGTTGGGAATGAGCGGCGTTAGAAAATAGTCGGTCTTAGGATGCGGCTAACTTGTAATGCAAAAGCTCCATATCCAGGAATCCAGAATCAACTTGCGACATAAGCCAAGCATCTTCATTGCATAATCTGCGATACCTTACTACCATGTAGTCGATGTGGATCATCAAGGTTTTCACTGGTTGCGAGTGAAAGGTGACATCAAGGAAGATAATGGATGTTGTTATGCGCATCCATTGTGGATCCTTCTATGTTTCGCACTCAACATGCGCACACACATATCCTGCGTCATTTGTCTTTCACGCGGTGTATCAAACAATTGTTTTTTGGCTAATTTCTATGTGCCTGATTCTTGTATGAAAAAATAGTAATACCTGGTCGCAAATTCTGATTACAAAAGTTGATCACCATGTGTGGATTCTGGACTCCTCTCCTCTCCATCTCCGACTCTTCCATCAATGAAGAATTTTTTCTCTATCATTCAAAAGAAAAAAAGAGAATTGTTGTATGTGGGTTCTCAATGAGAAATGAAACCTAGCTTGTGAGATCACCGGATACGGGCCCTCTTTGATTCAAATAACTTTTCAAGGGCGTTTTCGAGAATTTTAATCCTTGAGAAAAAATCCATGTTGGTAGTTTAAATTATATGATCATAAGGTACACGATTTTTTTGTCATTTGTGCTAGATTTCATAGGAATTTTTTCCCCACTTTACAATGCATGTGTAGAAAATAGTGCATTTTGTTATTCCCGTGTGTTAGAGTCCTGTTTAACATGAAGCAACAATGACTGCACATGTCCTGTCATGGTGCCTTCTTGCAGTACTCCTAATACGTTTGATTTGGGCCATGTTTTGATTCAAAGAAATAGTGCAGGGTATTTGAAGAATTCGGATCCATGGGAATTATTCTGTGTGGATCGTTTGATTCATAGAAATCCTTATAACCATGTTATTCCACTCTACCACGCAGTATTTGAAGAATTTGAATCCATGGGAATTCTCATGGCCTCTTTGGATCAAAGGAATTTCATAATTTTCTTACAGGATTTCATTATGTAGGAACTTTTCCTATACAATCATTTGAATCATAGGATCATGGTCACTAAATCCTTATAGAATCATTTGTACCTAGACTAATGCACACATGGATCGTAGGAATTGTCCATAACTCTCCCTAAGGAATCATATTTACTCTATTTTGGAGAGAAGTTTCCATCCATTTAGGATCCATTTGGTTTAGAGGATTTTTGGGACGTGCAAGAATGTTTCAGTTAATAACATAACTAGTTTTGTCGTGAGGCAAGAAAGGTGAAGAACAACGCAAATCCTTTGCTCTAAGAATGCTTATTGGGATACTGCTTTTTCTTCGATTAAGATCACATGTGATGTCTCATGTAGTGCTCTCATATTCATTGTTGTCAGAAGATCATATATTAGTCTATGCTCACCTAGCTACTCCTCTTTCAAAGACAAGAAGGAGAGAATATATAAGACTTTATGCATTTATTTGTGCACATCTCTTTTCACCTATATATAACTAGAGATGTGCGCACGATGCAAACTAACATATAGTTAGAAAGTTACAACCAAGCAAGCATTCTCATGGCTTGCATTGCTAGAGAAACCAAATACCTTCTACATAGGTTGGTCTAGAATAATTATTGGGAATGAGTGGCATCGGAAAGCAGTCTATTTGGATGTAGCTACATGTTAGTGCACCGGCCCCAACTCATGGAATCCATGATCAACTCACCCCATAAGCAATGCACACCCATAGTAATATGTGTGAGACCTTATTGCCATGGAGGCTTTGTGCATCATCTAGTTTTTCACTGGTTGCGGGTGGCGGCTGCCATCAAGAGAGGCCGTGGAGGCAGACCAGCGCATCCATTGTGTATCCTTCTATGTCTCGCACTCGACAATTCTGGCGATCGCTATTAGAGAGAGTGCGCGCGTAAACATGTCCCACATCCTCTGATTATTCTATGCAACAACAGTAATATCCGGTCGCAAGCTGTGACCACGTCAGTCGATCAACACGGTTGCTGTTGAGAGGCAAACACAGTACCATTCGTACACCAAAAAATCCTCTGGTTTTTGGGAGAGCTCGGTCGCTGACTTTATTTCCCAATTATTATTTGTATATAAACGATATGTCAATTATCTGAGAAAAATAGAGTCTTATTAATGTAAAAAAATGCAGCAGTTGATCAACACGTGTGGACTGTGGACTCTTCTCTTCTGGATATCAGACTCCTCCATCAAGAAAAAAGATGCAATTTTTCTTTCTCTCTCGACCCAAAAGGAAAAGGAGATTCGTTGTTTTTGTCCACTGCCAGAGACCACACACAAGAAGAAGGAAGGGAGGGAATCCAGGGAGGAAACCTGTTTCATCGAATAGTAGAGTAGAGTCCCGGCCCGGCCGGATTCACTGGAGAGTTTGCGTTCCGGCCGGTAGCCTGCCCGACCGCCTGCCTACTCCCCAACCAAACTGCTGCTACCGCTCCCCGCGGCCATAAATAACCTCCTCCCCTGCGCCCGCTCCTGCACGCCGCCCTCCTCCCTCCCTTCCGTCGCGCATCACCGGAACCAATCTCGCCATCGGCTAATCCGTCCAGGTCCAGGTGAGTTTGCCAAGATTCCTCTGCTTCTTCTTCTCCTTCTTCTTCTTCTTCTTCTTGATTGAGGGCTCACATTCTGTTCCGCAGTTTTAGGAGTCGACCCAAGAACCAGATGGGCATCCTGTCCCTCATCACCGGGAAGCCGGGCGCCAGCGGGTTCGGCTCGGGCTCCACGGCGGAGCAGGTCACCGAGGACATCTGCGCCGCCGGCCTCACCGTCGTCGTCACAGGTACCCACCACAACCCCACCCCCACCCAACCGGCCGGGTTCCTCCCCTGCTCTTGCGCCGCCGGCCAGATCACCAATGGCGCTCGCAGTGCCGCCTGACATGTCCACCCTCATCTTCTTGGCCGTGTGATGGGGACACCACCTTTTGGGCGTTTCGTTTAGTCATACACTCATATATGGTGACGATCTCTTTCCTGTTTGGGCACACGCGCCCTGAATCTGACTGCTGGTTATGCGTCGCTGTCAGCACAAGAACAGCAGCGCTGCTACTATTATTAGCTATCATGTTCACATCAAATTAATTTGATCCCTAAAGCCTGCTTGGTGTGCTAACCGCGTACCAGTGAATCAAATTAGCTGGCTTTTTTCATGGTGCAGTGCTCAAACAGTCTCTGTGATGCTGTCGGTTAGATTCGTGTGCAACCTTCCTTTCTGAATATTTTCTACAGGGGGTTGCTCTGCTCTCGTCGTGTGCTCTGTGGACGAGCAGTTGGGAAGTGGGTTTACGACCGGGATTTTTTTGTTTGAGGGTAGTATGTACTGAAGTACTAAACTTCTGAACATGTGTTGTGACAACTGTTTTTTTGTGCACAACCACTAGTCTTTGTTCAGATTTATGCTCTGTTCTTAATCTGAACGGCGACGTATGTTACGATGATCTGTTCTTCAAAAAATTGCAAGGACGCTGTTGCTTGTATTTCTCCAAACTCTTGATGTGAACAAGTTGGTTAAGTCCGCCTTTTTATGTGGAGAATGAGAGTATGCAGTCTGGATTTCTGGGTCCTGTCTTTCTGGGAACTGTTTTGTGTGGCCTTTAACGAATCCTGAATTGGCTGGTGTTATCTGCCAGTTCTCCTCTTCACTAGAACCAATCAAATATCTGAGATGAATATTTTGTTTTCACATGGTAAGCCACACCATGGATCCAAGCTTTCTCTTGATTTAAGTAGTAGTGCAGACAATTTCTGCACCTCCCACCCTGCTTGCCAGTATCATGGTGTGGCCAATTTTACAAATAGGGATTAGGAAGGAACCTAGTACTTTTGTTATTTTTATCTCTCTTTTATGTGCTTTAGTTTTTCGCAAGAGTGATTCTGTGCTGCAGTGACGAGGTCCTTTCAGTTAGATGGCAATCTTCTTCTATCCTTTTCATTGCACTACGGTTTTCAAGCTCCGACGCTTACTTGAACGGTACTCCCTCTGTAAACTAATATAAGAGCATTTAGATCACTACTAATCTAAACGCTCTTATATTAGTTTACGGAGGGAGTAGAAATTAGCAGAAACTGACTTTTTTTTCTAGTTGGTTGTTAGAAGACCACAGCAAGAGTGATTATATGCTGCAGTGACATGATCCTTTCAGTTAGATGACAATCTTCTTCTACCCTTTTCATTGCAATACTATTTTGAAGCTCCAATGTTTAATTGAAAAGACAAAATTATCAAAAACTAATTAGTTAAACAATCCTGGTTGGTTGTTAGACTACTGCCGGAGTTATTATATGCTGCGGTGACAAGATCCTTTCAAGTTAGATGGCAATCTTCTTCTATTCTTTTCATCGCACTAGGTTTTTGAAGCTCCTACGTTTACTTGAATAAGTCAAAATTATCAACATCTGTAAGGTTGGTTGTTAGACTACAGTTTTCACATTCATTGAGAACCAAGTCTGGTTATATTGATGGGAGCTTTTCTGGTATTGTTTTTACAACAACTTTTTCTAGATTTTTTTTACAACAATAATAAGTTCAGGACATAGGGAATTCTAACGGAATGCAAGAGCTTCCATTAGTATGTGTTAGAACAATTAGAGGAACCGTTTTTGGTCGTGTCAATATTGCTTATTCATAAAGCATGGGTGTGGGTTATGCTTATGCACACTTGCGATAATTTGTTATGGGCATTTACTATTGCTGTCATTACATTGCAACCAAGCCTGTCATAGATTCAATCTTTTTGAGTTATCACACAGCCAATCCCTTTTTATAAGATGTTTCCAAGATCTATTCATGTTTTTTACTGAAAGCCGCAATTCTGATATCTTTCAGGAGGATCTAGTGGCATTGGTCTAGAGACCTCGAGAGTCTTTGCCCTGAGAGGAGCCCATGTCATCATTGCTGCGAGAAACACAGAGGCTGCATCAGAGGCAAAGAAGCGCATCATGAAGATACACCCAGTAGCCCGTATCGATGTTCTGAAGCTTGACCTTAGCTCCCTCAAGTCTGTCAGGGCCTTCGCTGACCAGTTCAACGCCATGAATCTTCCTCTAAACATCTTGATGTAATTCCTTCATCTCGTATCATTCCTTCTTTTCTTTGATATGTACATTGCTGTGTCACATTAAATTTCAGTTTAGGATAGCTGTATATCACTGCTAGCCTATTCCAGCACTGCCTACGCTTCACTGAATCAAGCTGTCCGAATTCTTTCTGTTCTGCAGAAATAATGCAGGTGTGATGTTCTGTCCTTTCCAACTGTCTGAAGACGAAGTGGAGATGCAGTTTGCCACAAATCATCTTGGTTAGTCTCTAACTGCCAGCAATACTTGAAATAGACAGAATCAATGGTGGATATCCTGATACTAATAGTTTTCCCTTTCACTCAAATGCTCAATCAGGTCACTTCCTACTGACCAACCTTCTCCTTGATAACATGAAAACCACTGCCAAGTCCACGGGTATTGAGGGTCGCATTGTGAACTTGTCATCAGTTGCCCACCTCCATACATATCCAAAGGGGATTCTGTTTGATCAGCTCAATGACAAGAAAATGTATGTGTTCTTATGGTTATTTAGGAGAAAATCTACTATCGATTCAACTGCTGCTAATAATGTATTTTTTTATTGGCAGATACAATGATAAAATGGCCTATGGACAATCTAAGCTTGCAAACATACTGCACGCAAAAGAGCTCTCTAGGCGGCTCAAGGTATCATTTTTCTCCAACTTTTTGCTCTTTTCTTTTCATTTATTCGTTCATTCACAAGAGCAAACCTCGAAATACTAATTTCAGACCTTCATGAACTTCCTTCATATAATTCAAGTTGTAGAGACCTAGGTTCTAATACCCTTCTTATATTTATTTGTATTGTTATAAAACTGTTATCAGTTATCATCACCATAGTAACGCAGCGGTTTAGCCTTTTACGTACTAGCTTTCAATGAGCACAGTGATTTTTTAATTAGACCTATTGACCTAACTAGTAGCAATTAAATTCTCTACCACCAGCTACATGTTCCATTGTGATCTACGATAAATAATGTGTTAAACTGACACAGGAGGAAGGAGCCAACATCACAGTTAATTGCGTTCATCCTGGATTGATCATGACCAATTTGATGAGGCATTCCTTTGCTCTCATGAGTAAGCTCTCAAGCTTATTTTTCTTGTGAATGAATATGTTTCTTAAATGTCAAGTTTTTAATGTTCCCACGGCGTTGTAATATTTATTTTGTTTTCATTTGCAGAGGCAATTCAACTTGTCACCTACTTGTTCTGGAAGAATGTACCTCAGGTTCTTATCTATTCTTGGCTTTGACAGAATTCTCATTCAAATGCAGGCTTGCACAGGATGCAACTAATGAAGAAGAACCTTTATCGTTGTGTAATCTCTGATGACTATTTTATACTTAATCTAAAAGAATACTACTTTGTGGATTTCCAGGGAGCAGCAACCACTTGTTATGTAGGGCTCAACCCTCAGCTGAAGGGGGTGACAGGCAAATACTTTGCTGACTGCAACGAGGAGAAGACGAGCGCGCACGCGAAGAGTGACGTCTTGGCGAAGCAACTCTGGGAATTCAGCGAGGAGCTCATCAGATCCGCGAAATGAGAGCTCGGGAAAAGGCGTCTTTCTTTCGGGATGCTGTTGAGTTTATGGTACAGATGGTTGGTTAGCAAGTAGCAGCAGCACAAGCAGTAGCTACAAGTAGGAACCTGTCACTTGGCGAAGTGAACCAATATTGTTCACCAATAAATTTTCGTGCTTGTTTGGTGTCGTGGCTGTGGTCTAATCGTGTTCCTGTTAATATATTCGTGTCCAGTATATTTGTCGGGTCGTTTTGGATTGGATTAATGGATATAGTTAATCATCTCGCTTGCTTTCAGATTTGTGTTTTTCTTCTGAAACTTTTTCAGTGTCACATACTATATGCAGGCAGTTGCTGAAAAGTTCAGAAGAAATTTCTCTGCTTTGCTTTGTTGCCGCTGACAAATTTCAGAAACTCAAAGGCAGAGGCTGGTAAGTAAGGGTAAGTGGGTCGCCATTGCTGGGGCCACGGATGCTTCTTCTTCCTGAAGAGGGATGCTCCTCTGCTGATTCCTCTGCCCCTCTGCTGATACCAACCTGATGCAGTTCCCAGTACCCAAATGCTGGACATTACATGATGCTCCTCTGCTGATTCCTCTGCCCCTCTGCCCCTCTATAACACATTCTGCCAGTCAGACAGTTAGTTGCCATGATTCCGGTACGGTGGGAACAAGGAACGGGAACGGGGGACGAGAGTCTAAAGTGGAGACGCGATCCAATCAATTCCGGTACGATGAATCCGGTACGGTACCATGGAACGAGGGACCGAGGGAGTACTTATACATGGAACTGGCTGGGCTGCCAAACCTGAATCGATGATTCGGTTGCGGAAACGCCGAATCCGCATCGAATCTTACCGAATCGACCCTCGTCCCAGAATCTGATTCTGGGTCGATGAATCTGGATCTGAGGGACGGCCCACCATTTCCCGTTTCCGGCTACTTTGATCAGACAATGGAGTTTGCGCATTTCTGACGATAATACATTCAGATATTAGTAGTGCTAAAGCTAACTGAACATTCTGAGATTAGTCTAGTACTTCGCATCCATGCCACATGCCAGGGCTACATACAAAATACATTCAGATATTACTATTACTAGCATCCATCATGCCAAAGGTGCGCTACACACATCCAACAGGAGCATCGCCTAGCTAAACTGCATAGCTAGCGATCATGGCTGCTCTAGTCGCATGATCATTAAGAACCAGTGAACCACTACAAACCCCCAACTAATCCAACAGCACTACGACTACACTAGAGTCAAGTTCAAAGCCCACGTACAAGTTTTCGGACGCAAAAGTAGGAGTGCAGAACACCCGGGCCTCCTGCACATCAGTATTGGAGAGGCTCACCGGCGCTTCCTCTTGTGTGACTGCAGCTGTCTCAGGAGGAACTGGATGGCTTCCTCCAGCGTTGCTTTCCTGTCATTCTTATGGTTCCACAGCTCCGGTGCGGCGTAGCGTCCGCTCGGGTTGTACTCGTTCATCTCAAGTAGCGCCTTGGTCACTAAGCTGTAGATTTCCTCACCATGCTCCTCTTTTAAGCTGCAAAGCTTGTCAACCTCCTCCGAAAGAATTTCCTAAACCAAAGGAAAGAAGGTATGCGCCATCAGATGGAATCATATACATATTTGCAAGTTCATAAAAAGAACAAAATGTTTGCAAAAGCAGAAGTAATTAGAATGTTATAGAATGCTGTTAGACTGTATTTACATGTGTATATTGTAACGTTGTATACCACCTCATTATATATATATGTGATAGGCCACCCCTAGAGGGTTGTGCCAGTTCCCCCCAAAGCCTATTGTCTTACATGGTATCACGCTAGGTTACGTCCGCTTCCGCCTAAAAACCCTAAACCGCCGCCGCCGCCGCCGCCGCCACCGCCGCCGCCGTCGCGCCCGCCGTCGCCGTCGCTCGACTGCTATGACGTCCGCCGCTGCGTCCGGCTCCACCGCCACCGGTTTTCTGCCGGCCTCCCTCGCGGCACTTCTCTCGAGGCCGCTGGATGCCGCCTCTCTTCAGGCGCCGATCGGGACACGGAGCGTCGGCTCCCTCTTCGCGCTCCCGCCGGCTGCTACTTCGCCCGGGCAGGCGCTTGTGGCCCACACCGCCGCCGCCCCGTCAACCGCGGCTGTCGCGCCCTCAGCCACTGCACCGCTGGTGGCGGAGGACGTCGCGCTGGCAGGCTTCGCGGCGTCAACCACGGCCATCGCGCCCTCTGTCACCGCGCCGGCTGCCCCTCTGACTGTCTCCACGGTGGTCTCACCTCAGCCAGTCTCCTCGATGGGATCGCAGCCGCCGCCGCCGTTTCACTTCGGCCATCTCATCACCATCAAGTTGTCGTCGGACAATTACATCTTCTGGCGCGCGCAGGTTCTTCCGCTTCTTGGGAGTCACTATCTGCTTGGCTATGTCGACGGCTCTCTCCCTTGCCCTCCTGCGCTGGTTGACAGCGTGCACGGTCCGGTCTATAATCCGGCTCACCGTGTCTGGACAGGGCAGGATCAGGCGAACCTCTCCTCCATCCAGGGGTCGCTCTCTCCGGCCGTTGCTGGGCTTGTTGTCTTCGCCAAGACGTCCCACGAGGCATGGACTATTCTTGAGCGCTCGTTTGCGGCACAGTCGCAGACTCGTGTATCTGGGCTCCGTCGCCAACTTGGGGAGTGTCAGAAGCTTGACTCCACCGCCACTGAGTTCTATAACAAAGTCAAGAGTCTCGCCGACACGCTGGCCTCCATTGGACAGCCCCTCACCGACTCCGAGTTCAACTCGTTTATTGTCAATGGTCTTGATGAGGAGTATGACGCCCTAGTCGAGATCATCAATGAGAGGGGCAACTCCACGCCCATGCCAGCACACGAGGTCTTTTCACGCCTCCTGCTTACTGAGCAACGAGTCGAGACGCGCCGATCCAGGGGCAACAGCGCCCTCTCGGCAAACGCCGCCACCAAGGGTGGTCGCTCCTCTGCTTCATCCAGGGCTCCTTCGGGGCAGTCACCACCACCCGCCTCGGCCCCTCCTCCTACTGCGACGCTACCAGGGGCTGGCGGTCCACGTGTGTGCCAGCTTTGTGGTCGCGATGGGCACTGGGCCTCGAAGTGTCACAAGCGCTTCCAGCGGGGTTTTCCTGGTCTCGGCAATGACGGGAAGGATACACGCAACTTTGCTCGTTAGGTCGCCATGGCTGATCGTCCGCCGCCGCAGAAGCCACAGGGACACACTCAGTCCTACTCCATTGATCCCCACTGGTACATGGACTCTGGGGCGACAGAGCACCTGACCAGTGAGATGGGGAAGCTTCACACTCGTGAACCCTACCATGGCTCCGACAAGATCCACACCGCCAATGGAGCAGGTATGCACATCTCTCATATTGGTCAAGCATCACTTCTCACTAGACATGCCAATAGGAGTCTTCAACTTCGCAATGTTCTTCGAGTTCCATCTGTGACACGTAATCTTCTTTCAGTTCCTAAACTCACTCATGATAATAATGTGCTTTGTGAATTTCATCCTTTTGATCTTTTTATTAAGGATCGGGGCACGAGGGACATTCTTCTTAGTGGGCGGCTCTGCCAAGGTCTCTATCGTCTGGAGCATCCTGGCGTCGCTCGCGTCTTCAGTGGAGTTCGGGTATCTCCGTCACAGTGGCATGCTCGTCTTGGTCACCTAGCCACACCTATTGTCCGGCATGTTTTGCGTCGTCATGAGCTTTCTAGTGTGTCTAGTAATAAAGATGTAGCAGTGTGTGATGCTTGTCAGCAGGGGAAGAGTCATCAACTTCCTTTTTCGGAGTCCAGTCGTGAGGTGAAACATCCTTTAGAACTTGTGTTTTCAGATGTATGGGGTCCTGCTCAGACTTCTGTTAGTGGTCATAATTACTATATCAGTTTTGTTGATGCTTACAGCTGCTTTTACCAGGCTTTATCTTATCAAACGTAAATCTGATGTGTTTGAAATTTTTGTTCAGCTCCAAAAACATGTTGAACGCCTTCTCAAGCACAAAATTGTTCATGTTCAGTCGGACTGGGGTGGCGAGTATCGCAACCTCAACTCCTTCTTTCAGTCGCTTGGGATCACTCACCGTTTAGCATGTCCACATACACATCAGCAGAATGGTTCAGTAGAACGTAAGCATTGTCACATTGTTGAAGCTGGTCTGACTCTTTTGGCCCATGCATCTGTTTCGTTTCGTTTTTGGAGTGATGCTTTCACCACTGCATGTTTTCTCATCAATCGTACTCCCACTCGTGTTTTGAATATGAAGACTCCCATTGAAGTTCTCCTTAATGAACAACCGGACTACACCTTTCTCAAGGTGTTTGGGTGTGCTTGCTGGCCCCATCTCCGTCCATATAACAAGCGTAAGCTCGAGTTTCGTTCCAAGAAGTGTGTTTTTCTTGGTTATAGCTCTCTTCATAAAGGATACAAATGTCTTCATGTGCCCACTAATCGTGTCTACATCTCTCGGGATGTTGTGTTTGATGAGCATGTTTTTCCCTTTGCCAAACTCCCTGTGTCCACTACCGAGCCACCTGTCATGCATTCATCCTCTGTTGCTTCTGACCAATTTGATGATGTTGCATATTCTCCTCTATTGTTGCCTAACCATGGTGCAGGCACTGGTCGTGGGGCTCGTTTGGAGATTCTGGAAGTGCCATCTTCTTCTTCGTCGCCATCGCCTTCATCCTCGGCACCTTCTGTTGTGCATGAGGAGCACATGGCGCCCCTGCATGGCCTCGGTTTCCGTGCTCATGCACGACCGATCGACGTCCTGGCCCGGTCGCCTCTGGCTTCTGGGCTGCCTTCGCCATCGTCGCGCCCTGCAACCCCGCCGACTGGGCCGGCCTCCTCGGTCCCCGTCTCGCCCAGGGCGTCGGGGCAGTCATCACCAGGCCTGGCCTCGCCCGCCCCTGCCTCGCCCAGGGTGTCTGGGCCCTTCTCACCAGGGCCGGCCTCGCCTGCTCTCGCCTCGCCAAGGCC